CGGCGTCGCGGACGACCGCAATGACATCATGGCGCATCTCGTGCGACTCGCGGTACTGCAGCACAAATGTGGTCTCGTCGCGCTGCCGCAGCGTCCGAAGCGTCACGTGCACAAGTGGCGCGCCGAGGTACGCGACCTCGTTCTGGTCCATGTCCATCAGCGCGGCCTCGAGCTCATACGCGTCGTCGTCTGGCCTGTCTGCCATGCTACTTTATATGGGCAAAGCGCACTTTACCGAGTCGATCGCACTTTGTTCACCCCACGAAACCGATGCGTGTCAACCAACCCCCTTGCTTCCTTTCGATGACATCGCCGTCGTGCAAGTTCATTATTTGGTCGAGGACAGAGGCAACCGCTCCTTCCTGCAATCGAATGGACTTTATCGTGCCTGCATGGTCCACGGACACAAGTGGCGGTAAAAAAGCCGTGGTCCAAACTCTGTTTTTCTGCCACGGGCGCCCACGCCTCGAAAGCGTGCAGTCACGTACAGGTGGCAGAAGCGAGCGAGCGCTCGATCTCGGGTTGCGACCTCGATGGCACGCTAAACACATGACGTCGTGTGGCCGTTTCGTGTGGAAGCGAACCGATGGCTTCAACTTCAAGCATGAGAAGCTTTGAGAGGATGGGGCAATCGCCTCTAGTTCTTTGGCGCGTGGCTCAACAAATGCAGGCGTTGACGATAGCAATAATAACGCGCAGTTGCACGTGAACGCGTCTGCTTGTCGATCGGATATCGGATATGACCGAGTCCCTTGGTAGGGCATGAATCCAGATGGCTCTCACCACTTGCCGAGCATGAAACTCCACTGCAATAGGAGCGCGGACACTGGCTTGAAGCGCTGCCTTGCAAGTAGCTATGGCTTCTCATGCTCGTGTTCTGCGACCCAACTTCAACTCGAAACGCATCATCGCATCCGTCCCACCGACGTGGAAGAGCCGTCGCCATGGACACCGGTCGCAGGCGCGGTTCCATTGTGTATCTCATCGAGCTACGCCCTGGTCTTCTCTGCGCCAGACGGCAGAAGCGGGGAGCGGCGCAGCGCCAGGTCGCAGTTGCTTCGAGCGGTTTCCTCCTTGTACGCCGAGCATCGACTATCTGATCCGGACAGATACGAAACCCAAGGTATATATGGGCGGGTGCATATTTTTAGCCCATTTCGTGGCAGCAGTTGATCATCTTCTGCCTCGCGACCAAGATGGCTCGGGACCCGCGCCACGGCTGGTTTGGCCGGCTCCGCGACCTCGAGCACGAGACGCTCAAGCACGTTGCGCTCACGGCGCAGGCGTCACGCGTCCGGCTGCGCGGCGGGTCTG